CAACCTCCTGGTTGAACGACTGCTGGAGGGGACAATTTGCATATTAGGCTTTTATCTTTGGGTGTTTCCCTGTAGAGAATAATTTTGATGAGAAGAGGTGGGACCTGTCTGTCTTGTTCACCTCTATTTTCTCAGTTCCTAGCACATAGCTGGCACTCAGAAACTATTTGCTAAATTATTGAAAGATCAGCCAGCTAGCAAGGGAAGGGGTGGAGGCAGGATTTAAATCCAAGTCTCTGGTGGTGTCTTTTATACTATGATACATTCTATTTTATGCATTTAAAACAGCTCCTATATTTTTTCTTTTCTTCCATGTTATTCTGAACTATGGAGCAGAAGTTTGAGCTGAGTATCAGAAAAGGGGGTCAGAGTAAGCCATGACCTTTTTTTTTTAATCCTCACCTGAGGTTATTTTTACATGGGTTTTTAGAAGATGGAAGGGAGTGAGAAAAACATTGATGTGAGAGAGACACATAGATTGGTTGCCTTTGCACATGCCCCAATCAGAGCTGGGGATCAAGCCTGCAACCTATGTACAACCTATGTACACCGAAATCGAACCCAGGATCCTTCAGTCCCCAGGCCGACGTTATTTCCGCTGAGTCAAACCAGCTGGGGCGAAACATGACCTTTTAATGCAACTACACGATCATACATAGGTCCGCAGGCCTTGTGCACATACCCTCGTGAGGCTGCTACTGCTGTATATGACTCATATGTGCTGGGAAAGGAGTCTCTGGACCCAGACTGCAAATGTAACTCTGGAAAATCCAAACAGAGCCCCTGCCCTGGGCCTGGCTAAACTCTCTTCTACTTCTCTCTCCTAGAGCCCGGACCTGGCTTTCCCCCTAGGAAGGGAAGTGGTCAACTGCAACAGCTGAAACACTGCCCTAGAGGAACCAAAATCAGCAGAGGTAGCCTTCTCTCTTCCCACTGGGCAAAGTCCGAACTGGTCACTGCACCGACCTGATGCCAGCTGATCTGGGGCATAAGCAGGCCCAGACCCAAGGGCCATGCTTAACTCTTCCTCAGAATGTCCCCTAAAGGTGGGACATTCAGAAAGCTCCTGGGACAATGACTAACACATACTTAAGCAGAGCTTACTCCATGGTAAGAAATGTGAAGAATGGGCATTGGGGGAGACACCCTTGTGCAAGAGAACTGGGTTAACATTGCCCCAAACCTAGAAAACAAAACCTTCCTGATATTTTTTGTACCATGGATCCTCTTCTGGGGATAATGTTTTAAATGCATAAAATAGAATGTATCATAGTACAAAAGACACCACCAGTTATATTGAAGTTATTGAATTATTTTAAATATTGTGATAAAGTAATATATGAAATTCTTTGTTAACATATCTACACTAATTAAAGAGAAATATGGTAATTGGCGTACAACTGCTACCCTTTTCATTGGCTAATCAGGGTGATATGCAAATTAACTGCCAACTAAGATGGCAGTTAACTGCCGACAAAGATGGCGGTTAATTTGCATATGTAGGCACAATGCAGGGAGGCGAAA